GGTTATTATTTCATGACTTTTTGCGTAAAATATTCTCGTAAGTTCCCGTAAATGGAAGAAAGTTGGGGATAACTCGCGATGAATTTTCCCGAAATTTTCACGTTTCACACCTAATAAGATAACCCTTCCCCCGCCCCCCCGCTGCGACGGGGAACCTGGAAGATTGTGAGAATTGGTAGGTAGGTGGCTGTGGGTGGAGGGGGGGGGGTTGTAACCGAGACCGTCATAAGAGGTGGCTGGCGTACTGACACCACCATTTCACACATCACGATGTTTTACCCTGGTGCCGACGAATCCAGCGAATTCAAAGAGTCTAGGTGATATCGTAATGACGCCAGACGCAACCTGAACTCGACCCCAGAGACCCACGTTTTTGGACAATCTTGCTGGAGAATGTCGCTTTCCAGGCCGGGTGTCTGCAATTTCTGGGATCACGGATGGACGCACTGGATTCGAGGCTCTGGAATGGTTTTCGTGCTAGCGAACCATGGGAACTGCTTCAGAGCAACAATGTATCTCTTAAAACGGAGGTCGTTCAACTCAGCGGCATGTTTATCTTGCAAGCGAAGGGCAGGGTGTGAGGGCAGCAAGTAGCCACCAAGTCCTGAGGACAGAGATCAATCGCCGCTTGCACGAGTTGGGGCTCCTCAAATTAGAACGAGCTACTTCCTCCCAATCCGAACAGAACTGGATAAGAAGAGGGCAGCCATCGATCCGGGATGTAAAAGGCACCAAACATCATGCATTAGTTTACTAATGCAGTGGTAAGAGCACTCGCTCGGTCAGCCAGATCTGAGGCTTTTGGTCACTTACTATTGCTGGGGGAGTTCCTGCGCATTTGGCATCTCGATCCGTGTCCGTGTCCACTTTCACTGCAGCAGTGTACAGGAGGAGGCAGTTGGCGTCGGATAGTTTATTCTGACAGTTCACTGCCGATGGAGCGTACTGAAAAGTGGAAGTTTTATGGTAATCGATGGAGCAGTTACAGTCCTATGGGGAGGGAGGAGGGGGTTCTGAGTACGCTATTGGCAACACGGCGACAGATGCGAATACTTGTGCCGACTCTCCTCCCTTGAAGTTAATATCGTCGCATTCAGTGGAGACGGTGCCCAATAGAAATGGAGTGAGCCTACCTGGGCCGGAACGTACTAGAACACGTCGTATGACGGAGTGAATAAAGCAAACTATCTCAAATCGCGACATTTTGCGTGATCAGGATTTCAATAATGCGAAAGGTCGGAGAAAAATTTTTAGAATCATTCCCGGCTTTATTAACCTTCGTATGGCCTTTGCTCAGCCCAGTTGTATAGAAGACTGAAAAGACTCACTTGTGCATTGGTTAGTCTCCCTAAGATATTTTCACACAGCGCTCAAAAAGATTTTGAATTGAAGTGGAAGTCGTAAAGCATTCCAAAAAGTGACTGATCAGGCGACGAAACCTTCATTCTGTTTAGGGCTCTTCAGCTTGGGGGAGGGGGGCGAGGGAATGGAAGAGGGTGAACGTTTTCCTTCCCCATTACGTGTTCCTGCTAAATTGCACTTCGCACGTGTGTGAGACCTGTGATTTCTTGTCAAGTATAAGCCAATCTCTTGCAATTGTTCAGCTTCACAGGAGTTTACAGGTTTCCCCAGGAGGCCCGACAGTGATCGATGGGGACCAGCAAAATGCCCCCACCAATCCTATCCTACCTCCTTTAATATTTCTTGAATGCACAATCCACAGAAATTTTCCTTTATTTCAATCTCATTTTCGTAAGTCACAAATAGCGAACTGAAAAACAAAAGTGTACATGCTCGGTTCACTGAGTTCTAAAGGAAAAAAAACAAACGAACTGTCGAAAACAACAGTAAGGCCTCACTTGTCGAGGTCCTCTCACCTCACTCTGAGCGAGAGGCGGAGGTTCGTTGGAATTCTGTGCGAGAAACTGGACATGAGTAGCAAGAGAGCACACAAACAAGCAAGACGATAAAAAGGTTAGAGTTACAGGCCCTTAGCAAAAGTCACTCTTTCTAGCCACGCATTTAGAAATTCTGGCGCAACGTTGCCCGTTGCAATGCGTTTTTCCTCATTTCCCACAAAGGGCCTTGATTTTTATAGGTGATGGCAAAATTTGCCTTCCAAAGTGGCCGAGATCATTCGCAAGGTCAGGGCATGGTCGTCACCACAAAATCTGTTTGATTCTTGATAGGTGTAGATGCTGTCTTCTCCAAGAGTGCACGAAGGCCAAGCTTACAAATGCTCCAAGTTTCTGCGCAACTAATCCCTTTATATTGGCGTGGGGAGAAACTGTAACACACCTTTGGGGTATTCGCTACGACATGAGTACAATTAAGATCCGTGATTGCCGCCCATGCAGGGCCAAGAAGTAACGTCGATGACAGAAGAACCGCTGACAACGTCATGAGTTTTCTGCAAAATTTTTAATTGGAAATGATAACTGGAAGGGTGGTGTTAGCTGTGGAGAATGAACACAGAAATGATGGCAAATTCAGAAAAAATCGAGCTTTTATACCGACCGTATCCGGGCCTCTCATCACGCATTGTTCGGCTGAAATATTCTAATCGTATGACCTGAAATCACAATAGCGTTCGTTTAAAAAAAGTTTTTTGAATGAAGCTGTCTGCCCCCATCACGAAATGAAACTGTGCAGGCATTTTTTTGAACTAATTACTGGTTTAGGGGGGAGGGGGCTCGGAGGACTATTTGGAATGGCTCCTGAAGCATGTATGGCAACCCTGGATTCCGAAAAGGCGGTGGGAGGTTGGGAGAAGGTAGACGTGGGGGATGGTACGAATCGGGGGTTCGTAGTATAGGAGGAAATTCTTGGAGGGTCGTATTTTGCAAGGAAATTCCCCCAGGGACAGGGAGGGCTCTGGGCCTGATCGATGTGACTCTTTATGAAAAAGCTGTGTTATGAAGAAAATTGTTGAAATTGCTATTGAATCTCAGAGGAATCGCAACAAATCGGATGAATTATGTTCTCGAAAGTCTTCGAAACTAAAGAGCTGGCTAAGCAGCGCAATCGAACTTGTGAATGAATTTCCTACAAGACCGAGTGGCTTTCAGGGGATTAGGTGACTGTAATGATTCGCCACTTACCCAAACATGACTGTAGTTCTTCGGAACATCTTCGCTCCAGGGCGTGTGACTAAAGTAAGAAAAAGATTTTCTAAATCGTGGTTCATGAAAAAATATTACTTCTGCAAAAAACAAGTCAACCTTTGCAAGATCTGGTTCAATCCCTGACCACTGTGGTGCGGCTACAGGCCAGGTCCTAGAGAAATTTTTCAGCGCTTTTCAGAGCGTGACCTTTGTGTGATATGAGGGTCTTTGTATTTACACAAAATCGGCTTCCATAACAGAATTTCTCAAAAAAAGGTGAACAATAGGCTGATGGATCGAATTTCCATTGTGAGCGAGAAGCAAAACTACGTACAGCTGGTAATCGGCTTATTCTTGATGTCTTGATCGATCGTGACCTGATCTTTTCTCTTAAATACTACTTGATAACTTCAAACAGGCTCAATTTTGGGAAGAAGAAAAAATAACGCAGGTTCTGCCTGACAAAACCTTCACGATGCCCGTCCGAAGAGGACAGGGCCAGGGCGAGTCGCATACACATGTCGCATCTATGTCTGGAGAAATATGTGTGGCGCATGTTCGCGAGAAATCTTCTTGGAAAATTCCGAAATTGAATTCGAACACACGGGGGTTACACATACAGCATTACTTTTAGCGAGCAGTGATAACTCGCCAGGAACGCAATTTTGCAAATGTCGATTCTCACTGGTTGCCATTGCCCGCCGATTCTGTGCTTCCCTTCAGAACGATTTCCTTGCCAGTTAAGTGCAACTGCTGACAGTGTCAGCCAGAACCCAAAGATGGAGCTTATCCTTTTTACCCCGAATTCCATTATTGAGATGATTTGGGTCCTAGTTGGTCGGAAAATCCATTTCAGGCGAATAGAATGCGCCGCAAGGTCGGAAATTTGAACTCTCAGCCCCGAAGCTCGGATGCGATCTTATCCGCTAACTGTTCTAAAGGCTCGGCTACAATTGTCATAGTCATAGGGGCTCTTGCGGCTTCAGGAGGGGTGGGGGGGGAGGAAGGAGGCGATTCCGTACACTTATCCGCAGTTCCTTGGTGCGAGCCCCCGTCAACTATCTACAGGAATCACGTTGGGCAGATCTGTAAATCTTTTGCGAAGCTGGCGAAATCCGTCGCAAGTCGAATACTACAGGTACAGAAACACACACCTTCATAAGTGACCTGTGCATAGCTTTGCGGGCCATTTGGTATCAACCAGCCCATTCTCCGTGCCTACTTTTGAATTGTAATGCATTTACTGGAATGCAAAGACACTGGCGTTAGCCTGCCTGAATGTAAAGCTCAAGGCGCAACGGGAAAATGTCACGGACGCAAAGGATGGTCAGGACAGGTCTGGCGCTGGTGCTGGATGACACAAAACCGCGGTCCATCACGTTGCGTGCCCTCCTGGCTTCCCTACAAACCGAGACGCCATGGCTCATTTCTCTGGAAACCACACTTTAGAAAGCACCTAGCATTTCGTGCCAAGAAGACAATGAGTTTTTGATCAATGCAACGCCCTTCAGAAGCACATCAGAGCTGGCATGTGGGAGGAAGTTACTCTAGCAATACAATTTTCTATGCTGCACCACACTTCAAAAGAGTGGCAGTGAGAAAGGCGCTTAGGGTCGAATCCCGCCTATTTAATGAGCCTGGATCAGAGAACGGGCACGACAACATTCATCTTCGAGAGTGATTTCCAAATTTTCCCAAATTGGTCTATGTGTGAGGCGGAATGGGACACGCAAAGAAACAGAGGCAATCTAGCGACATAAAGCTTTATTGCTTTCAGAGAGCCTTTGACTTTTGCAACACGGCAAAATAAGCATTGAAAAAGGTGAATGTTCCAGGTAAGTGGCAGGGCTCTCGAGGTAGCGCCTCTTTCAGCACAGCCAGCATCACGTCCACAGTTTACCTGCATCTTGTATGCCTGCGAATAGAATGTGCTGTCGCAAAATCCGTTTTGTTTCCATTTTGCACAGCTGAAAATGCAAGAGCTGTCAAAACAACCACGCAAACGATCGAGTTTCAAGCCGTCATAACAAAGTAAAAACACCTCCCCGCCTTCTTCCTCCAAGATGGGAGCACATGGACTATTCACAAGTTCACGACTATTCTGCGGTCTTCGTGTACTCAATACGTCCAGTTAGTATTGCCGCAATCCAGAGAAGCAGTGCTGCGAGGCGTGAAATGAGCCCTCTCGCAGAGTTTTCTGTTATTGGTTGTTTTCTATAGAAACGGCTACTATTGGTGGAGAACGAAGCTGAGGTGTGCTTATTGCACGCCTCTCGACGCCGCCCCGCCGGACATCGACGATATCAACTATATCTCAAAATCTCGGTAGGACCAACAAAAAAGGTGGAGGTACTGATCAGTCACAGTACTGCCAATCTTGTTTATGGTCAATTAAGGGAGCGGATTAAGGGAGGGACATACTCGAGAAAATGAGAAAGAAACAACTCACTTTGGGTTTGTTCCACATCCAGCACCTGAAAAAAAGAAAATTCTTCATGGGTTGCATTTTAGACATATTATTTAATGAAATGGTATTTGACCTCTTATTTGATGAAATTGTCTGAATGCACGAAAGGGGGGGGGGAGAAAGGAGAAGGAGGAGGAGGAGCAGGGACGAGCCAGCTCAAAGATTTTAGAGAATGTCATTAAGAGTGCGGCTGGGCATGTTATATGGGTGTGCACAGCCTCAGGCCATAAGCCCACGACGCGCTTGCCATACACTTTCAAGTCGCTACTCCACCCTCTACATGTGAGGGCCTTTCTTCGTTATACTTGTAAAGGAGACTCGGGTTATCGCGGAACGTATCCTGGACTGACCCTGCCCAAGGAGAAGAGTGAATACCTCTTGTAGCACCAAAGCTGCGAAAACTTACCCGGTGCTGCCGTGCTCGAGCTGGATGAGTCGGAACAGTATCCGCATGTCTTCCTGCAGTTTTTCTGGAATTTTTTCGGTCTTGTTCACTCAGAAGAACATTTGCAAACATATAGTGAATTATCGAGAACCTTATCCTTTCCAATGGTGATATTAACGCACCTTGGTGAACTCTTGTAGCTTTGCGCTTTGGCAAATAATTCCGCCACCCAGACCGCAGTTAGGTGCCAAATCGACGCAATCGCCTGAAATTCACCAGCATCATTGAAATAAATACCAGTCTCGGCAAAAAGTGCATCTCCCCTCTTGCAATCTCGTATTCATGGTGGAAAGCAACGGAGCTGGCGCCCAGCATGCACACCGCTGTCATGACACCTAATCCAGCACGGGATTACTGCCATAATGTGACCCCAGTCAAAGTAGCAGCGGTATTAGTGGCTCTGGGTCCGGGAGGGATGGAAGTGGGGCGGACGTGTGCGAGTGAAGTTCTCCCTGATGTCTCAAGTTAAATTTCCTCTAGTAGAACTATCAAAGGAACGGTCCGCGACGACATAAATAAACTGAGAACACAAAAAAATTGAACGTGGGGTGGACACTAGTGGGCCAACCTTGTGATAGTTTCGCGGCGGAAAGTTGTACGGTAAAGGAATTAAGCGTAAAGTTACTCCAGTGGTACCTCCCTTTTTCCAGTGACTCCGCCTTCAAAGTCTGAGTTCCACCCATAGGCGATGCTGCCGGGCAGGTAGTATGAAATGGATGGTCAACTGTTTCTTGTGGGATCATTGTGCTCATTACAAGGAGCCAGCCGACTGGACTCGTCTCAAAACGCGGTCTTTTGGTCTTTCGCCCGTTGTTGTTGTTTGAGATTAGAAGGTACCTATTAAAGGCCTTCGCGACGTTTTCCTTTGGCATACTCTCTTCACGAACGACTCCAAATCAATTTCTCTTCCATATTTCAACATTATTATACAGGCTCTTCATCGCGATCCGTGCCTTTAATTCTACTAACCATCATCAAATAGAGTTACCGTACGTGAGATTACTGGGTATGTGACAAGGCAATCGTGATATGCCTCGCTGTTGGGCGTGGCGAGCGGCGCCACGCTCTCTGGACGAGTTGACTTGCCCTGCCGTTTGAGCTGGAGTGTTAAGGGTCGGGGAAATTTCATATCGCCCGTCATGGAATCTTCTCCCATCTAGAATTCATACGAGTTTCGTTGATCCACTCTGAGCTACATATCGAAAACTTGCCGCGCATAGTCGCGAGCTACGCCGCGCGCGATGACGCGACAGATCTCCCGGTTTATGGCCACTAGAGCCGCGGGCTACTATAGAACAAGGCTCAAAGGAGTTTAGGAGAATTGGGTCTGAAACGAACCTGTATCACAAAGACCACACGTTTTTGGACAATCTTCTGCAAGAATGTCCCTCCAGGCTGCATTTCTGCACATTTCCGGCGACACTGATGAGCATGGGATGCTCGGGCCTGAAACGTATTTTCTTTCCAACCTTGTTGAAACGGATGAAGCG